GAGAGGGAGGGAGAGAGAGAGAGAGAGAGAGAGAGAGAGAGAGACAAAGAGCCTTTGAGGTGTGATACAAGGGCTCCACCCTCATGGGTGGGATTAGGTATCCTCATAAAAGAGGTCCAAGGAAGCTTGTTTTCCTTCTGCTGTTTCAGGTCATAGCAAGAAGGCAATATGAATGAAGTAGAGTATAATATGAACCTTTGCCAGACATCAAATCTGCTGGTACCTCTAAATCAGAATTCCTTATCTCCAAAAATATGAGCAATAAACTTCTACTTCTGTTATTTATAAGTTACCTAGTCTGAAGTAGTTTGTTATAATAGCATGAACAGACTGAGAATCCACAGCCTAGGTCCATAAAAGTAGTTTAGTACTGAATTTGTTGAATTAATGACCTTCAAAGAAAGGGGATGAGACTCCTTATAATGGTAGAGAGGGGGAATGAGTGTAAAACCAGAGGTTTCATGAATAAAACAAAAATGTAAATAAAGTTTTAATTACTACGGAATATTTTTTGGAGGGGTACCAGGAATTGAACTCAGGGCCTTGTGCTTGCCAGGCAGGCATGGGGCCACTGCACTACATCCCTGACCCCTACTAAAGAATTTTTTCAAGGAAAAAATTGATTTAATTTTTTAAACTGATGGCTTTTTCAGACTGCATTATCTTCACCTCACATTGTGATAAGGATGGTTCTTGTTAAGTGATGTATTTTGTTGTGTAAGCCATTTTGACTTGCTTTAAAAAATGCCATTAAAAGCATCTTGACAGTTACCTGCAAATATAGAAACATAGTTAAATATTAATTTTATTTTTATACCTATTTTTGTTCAAATGCCTCTTACTTGAATAGACTATCAGAGATTATAGCAGCATTAATTTTAGAAAACCACTCAGACAGAGTGCAGAGCTCCCATTGCAAACAATATGAAACTCTGCTTAACTATTGCCTATCCCGAGTCCATGCCAGCAGAAAATTCCTCTGCATTACACTGGCTCCATCAGTCAGTTCTAGTATCTTTAAAGGTATACTGAAGCTAAAATGGAAAGCATTTTAGTCCAATCTCCCCCAGTTTCTTATATTAAGACTTAGGACTGAAGTAAACTACCCAGGTACTTTTTGCAACTATCAAACAGATTCAAGAAAAATTGAATATTTAGGAATTAATTGAACAAAAGAAGTGAAATACCTCTAATTTGAAAACTACAGAACTCTGAAAAAAGAAGTCTAAGAGGACATTAGAAATGGAAAGTTATCTCCTGTTCCTAGATTGGCAGAATCAATACTGTCAAAATGGCCATACTATCAAAACTGATACAGTAAAACTTTGGATTGTGGGTAATTTGTTCTGTGAGTGATCTGCAGATGAGCAAACATTTCTAATAAATTTTAACTTGATAAAGGAGTGAGACCTTGCTGTGAGGCTGAATATCACATTGCAACTGAGCCAATGGTCCCTGTCCCCTGTGGGACTGTAGGTGATTCTCTCCCAATAGCAAGTGGTTATGGAGGATGTGTCCTTGGAAGAGGAGGAGGAGAAAAAGGCAGACAAATCCCTCACTTCAAATGAGATTAGGGAAATGTGTAAAATGCGGGAAACTGCAAAACTTTCTAGAAAAGCACCACCCAAATAAGCCTGTAGCAGTGCGAGTGATAATTTTGTTTAACAACAATGCAATGTCACATTTCGGGGAAATCCTCAAAAGGAGGCATTGAATAGATTTCCTGTTAAAACTGCATGGCAAAAAAAAAAAGATTCCATTGAGCCAAGAGAGAGCAGTGATTTTGCTAATGATAATGAAAGTCATACTACACAATAACCCCCTCTCTCGTCTCCCTCATATCAGCCATGAAGATTTTCAAAGGTAAATGCAGGTTAACTTATTTTTCTTTATATTTTGTCTTTTATTATTTTTGTATTATATTACAATATTGTAATCATTTTTATATGAATATATATATATATATATATTTTGTTTTGTTTTGCTTTTTTGTTTTTTGAGACTGACCTGGAACTCACTGTGTAGTCCAGGCTGGTCTCGAACTCACAGCAATCCTCCTGCCTCAGCCTCCCGAGTGCTGGGATTATAGTCCTGCGCCACCACGCCTGGCCTTATATGAATATTTTTGAGTTGCAGAACAAATTATCTGAGTTTCTATTATTTCTTATGGGGAAATTTGCTTTGCTACAAAAGTGTTTTGGATCATGAGCATGTTTCAGGAATGAATTATGCTCACAAACCAAGGTTTTACTGCATATAGATTTAATGCAATCCTAATCAAAATAACAATAGCATTCTCAAGGTATTATAATCCATCAATTATTTAATGAATATGTTTTTTCTTCTCTCTCTCTTTTTTTTTTTTTTTTTTTTGAGACAGGGTCTCACTATGTAGTTGAGACTGACCTGGAACTCACTGTGTAGCCCAGGCCGGTCTCGAACTCACAGGGATCCTCCTGCCTCAGCCTCCCAAGTGCTGGGATTACAGGCATGTGCCACGACACA